GGCTAAATTTGATTATTTACCAATTGCATGTAAAATATTAGATTTTCTACGAAAATTGACCATATTTTAATTTACAAAGTATGACAATTTCAAGAATAAGAAAATTGATACAAATACACTTATTGTTAGAAAAAAATTCCCGTTTTCAATAATTTTTTACGAGGTTCCTAATGCATCAGATACGTCATTTTCATCCTTATTAGCATTCAATCTTTTATCTTAAATTATTAATTGCATATTGTTTAATCACAAATATATTAAATTGATAAGCTGCAGAGTTGTAAACTGAATACATTGCGATTGAAAATCTTCTAGTCTTAACAAACGATGAAAACTATGTTAAAAATTAAAACTTCCATTTTTGAAAATACAAAACCAAGTTCCAATAAACATTTTATCAAAGTTCTATGAATGGTTATGATATTTTAATTTTTTATTATTATTCGGATATTTTTAATTTTATTCATATATTAAATTGATTCGTCTAGTAGCATCTAGCATTCCATTATATATGAGTACATAATATATAAGTATTTTCCCAGAAAGCAAGTCCATTAAAAGAGCGCACCTCATATTCTCATTGTTTTCCTTCTATTTACTTTGTAGTTTTCCAACTGCAGTACTAAACTATTCTTTCATAACGTGCCTCTGCTTCCAATTATCTGTAATTTCTCAAGCAACTCGTTAATTATTCACATTCTTCTTCGTAACTTCTTGAATACATCTTTTTTTCTTCTGTAGAGTAGTGCATTAGACCCAATCCAGTACAGTTATTTCTTTTTTTTAATATCTGCACTTTGCCGTTTGAAACTTTGTCGATCCACTTTATCATCATTCAGCTACTGAATCAGAGTTCAAATTAAAGACAATTTATAGGATCTATGCTGCAAATGCATCATTTCAGTACTTTTTCTCTAAAGTGAGGATTTAAATTACTCATTAGTATTTATAAAATTTATAAAAAAAATATTTTATTTATAAACACTGGCGCTGACAATTCTAGCTTCGAATATTATGCATGCAGCATCTGTTTTCAGTTAAAACATGCTCCAAAAATATTTGAAGCGATCATATCTTCTGTGATGTTTCTTGACTGCTTATATTTTTTTAAGGATATAAATATAAACTTTGTGTTAAATGCGTGAAGTAAAACTTAACATCTTACTAAAAATGCAAAAATGGAAATAAGTAAGAAAAATATCAGATTTATCAGATAACTATAGTGATATCAATGTAGGTTTACTCCAACTCTGAAAGTATTAAGCTTTGTTGAACTATTTTCTAGAAAAACTTACAAAATTAAATCAAAACTTTTGTAATACGATGTAGATTTTAGGTAGTGTTTGTATCGAGTTAACACTATGAAGTTGACTATGCAACTCTAAATTGAAGTCATTGCATACATCAGTAGAACTCTATATATCCAGAAACTTTTAAATCGAATTCAAACATTGTATAACTGGTTTTCTCGCAATCTCTTTTTATTCTTTCTATCATTTTTACTTTTTTAAACATTTTTGTTTGAAAACAAATATTTGCTTTGGAATTATTAATGCATTAATATCACATATCGATAAAATGGTTTAATTTGATCTTTGATTTTTGAAATTATTATGTCTTGAGTTGTCTTGAGTTGCCAGATCTCTCCAGTTCATGAAGTAATTTTAAACGGAAATTTATAATTTACGTTCAATTAAAACGAAATATTTAAAATTGTGGAAAATAAAATAAAATTTTTGTTTCAATGCATCACAAGATAACTTTAACAAATCTCGAATGAATTCATATGTTATATAATATATTGAAGTAGTGTACATATACTATAGTTGAAATACTTTTATATTGATATTGTATCTAAAATTTTAATTTGCTTATTACATATTTTGTATCAGTAACACCAAAACAGATGTATTTTATAGTCAGAAATTTCAAACAAAAAATTGGTAGAAAATTTTTATACAAGCACACTAATATGCTACACGAATATATATCTCTTTTTTAATACCATGTCATATATATATATATATATATATATATATATATATATATGTATGTATATATATATATATGTATATATATGTGTGTGTGTATTTATAATAACAATTGTGTGTGTGCGTGTGTGTGTATAATGTACGCTCTACGCATTTTTTTATAAATTAATAAGTCATGAATATAATATAAATTAAGGATATATCACAAATTTTTGGCTTCATTTGTATGGGTTGAATTTTATGTGCATATATTTTCATAAATACACGAATTCATAAGCACAATAAAAATCAAACAGTTGTATTTTAACGATCATTTATATTCATAAGAAACATACCTACAAAGTTTTTCATACGAAGCATTTTCTTTCAATTCAAATTGCAGGTGATTATTTATAGTGAAAACAGTAATTTTTCAAAATGTAATATTGTGAGTAAATCATGCGACTTACTCAGAAACAGTCATGTAAAGCATTTTGAAATATATGCGCAGGGGTATTCACAAATATTAGGTTGTCAAATATCTCCCTTCCGCTTTTTTGCTCTTGGTTTATAATACAAAAAGGCGGAAGGGAGATATTTGACAACTTTATACATACATACATACATACATATATATATATATATATATATATATATATATATATCTTTTGCGTTGTTGTGTTATTAACCTATCCGCTACGAGTGTCGTCCATGGACGACAACCGCATAGCGGGCTGTGTACGGGCGTCGTCCATGGATCTGTTATGTGTCAGTCTTCACCTCAAGATTTATCACTATGAGTTAAACTATTGGTAATTCTAATTCTTATTGTATTTTTCAGTTTATTAGAAGCGTAGTTCTTAATTTTTATTCATAATGATAGAAATATCTTAAAATATATCATTGTGTCTGGAGTATTTAGTAGCGCTGCTGAACGACATGCTGTTCCGTACAGCAGCGACACACCTGCAGAAAACACTCTCATAGCGAAATCGTTAATGAATTTTTTATACTAAATTTTTAATTTATTTAGATTGAGATATAAAGCATAAGAAAATAATATTGTATCTTTACTTCAAATAATTCCTAAATCTTGTATTATTTATCAAACCTTTGAGGACGGGTCCCACCTAAATACATGTCGATGACCGAGGAACTATTTTTTTTTTTAATATTTTTTTTTAACAGCAATCAGAACCTTACGTCCTACAAGCTGTTGGACTGAAACTTCTCCTTACTTCGTATGTTTTAGATGATAACCCAATAGTTAATCCATCCATATTTGATGATTTTTGTTATTAGAATTAATCTAATAGGGCTGGCTTTTTATTGGTGCAGCAATGCCGATCAAGGGCTATTTTCACTTGGAAACATATTGCTATCTATATTTCCAAGTGAAAATCGTTGTCACTGCTGCCTGACAACAGGCTGCTCAAAGTGGGTATCGAACCCGGGACCCCTGATTCAGATCCCGTAGCTCTTAACTGCTCACCTACGGGCAAGCCCTCGAGGAACTAAATGTTAATAAACCAAACTGAATAGTTTATAAAGAAAAATATTTTGTTTATCAGGTGACAAATCTAGAAATATATAATATGTTCGGAATTTAAGTTGGAGTGCTATAAACTAAAGCCACCGTTAAGCAGAAATATGCGTTAGCAATTTTAAATGACTATGGCGGCTGGAGCTTGGCACCATGGTGTGGTTCACTTGGAACTGTCCCGTCCCCAAAGAGTTAATATTAACTAGCTGTAAGTGGAATTCTGTCTTAAGGCAATTAAGGCATCGTGCCTTAAGGCAAATTACTGGAACTTCCCGTACCAAGAATTATTATTTTTTTTTAAAAACGATTAACATTTTTGAAAAAAATTTACTTCGAAAAAATCAGATTTTTGAGAAACTATAAATTTGACAAAAAAATACTTTTTAAAAAAAAATTTTTTTTTTTGAAAACAAAATTTTTTTGAAAAGAAATGTTCTCTTCATTTTGACATATTTCGGAAATTCTGAACCTTTTTTCACAGCAATCGTACTGCTTAGCATCGCATAGAGACGAAAATCAAAGCGCGCAAGTGCCGCGCCGCCGTCTAACGCATAAGCATTGGTACAGAACCCATAGAAATGTAAAATAAAAATTATACTTATTGTTAAAATCTCTATAAAATATCTGATAATTTGATGTGCATATGTCTAATGATCATTTTTAACCGCCGAATGGCATATATTTTTTTATTTTTTTCATTAGATCTCCGAAACCGCTAGACCTGCCTCCATGAAAATTTGATCAATTCTTTATCTTGTCAATACAAGTAAAATGTTTTTTGAATTATTCAAATCGGACGCTCCGTTCTCTTAAAAACTAAGTTACCGTTTTCGGCACTTTTTGCCCCGTATCTTCGGGACGGCTCGACCTGCCTTTGCCAAAAACTAATCAGCACGTCTCCTTGTCAATACGAATCGAATGTTTTTGAATTATTCAAATCGATTGATCCGTGTTCCCGAAATCGTCGACGAAAATTTGTATCCGCACGTACATACACACACGCACATACATCCATTTTTTCTAAGGTATGCCAAAATGTTCAGAAGGTTTTGAAACGTAAAGATATATAAAAATTTTCATGTTCGATTTTTTTGCGATTACTATAACTTGCCCTACGGGAAGTTAAAAATAACACAAGGCAGAAGGAAGTACCCAAACTTCTAGGCATTTTTGAAGAAAAAAATTGACGGTTATGAATCAGAATCAGAATAATTTTTACATTGAAAAATGAATTTGATTATAATAGCAAAATTTGTATTATGGAATAATCGGAATGAAACTTAGTTAGTCATATTGCTCAATAATCTCAATATTGATACAGAAACCCAATTAATTTTGTGTATATATTATGCAATAGTGTATGGTCATTGCATAGATCATAGGTAACTCTATAATCAACATTCAAAAGTGCTTAGCGACGTGTAATCTAATCCAGTTGAATCTACTCATTTCTATACCTAAACACGTGATAATTTATCATCCCACAGGCAAACCCACACAACGACTTCAACTCGATCCCGCTGGGATTATGGTGGGCGCTAGTCACGATGACCACTGTCGGCTACGGGGACATGGTACCGAAGACTTATGTCGGCATGTTCGTGGGCGCTTTGTGCGCCCTGGCCGGCGTGCTCACGATCGCCTTACCCGTGCCGGTCATCGTGAGCAACTTTGCGATGTACTACTCGCACACGCAGGCGCGCGCTAAGCTGCCTAAGCGACGGCGGCGCGTGTTGCCGGTGGAGCAGCCGAGACCTGTCGTCCGTCTGCCGGGTGAGATAACTGGTATTGTAACACCGCCGCACCGCATCTGACTGTTAGAATGATTTATACGATTTTCGAAAATTTATTGCGCGCTTGCCAAATCTGATATAATTCATTGACTGCTTTTATGCGGTATAAATGCAAGGATTATATAAATTCAACGTGATAACTGTGGTTACATCATTATTTGTATCCGGGTTGATGACTGTCTATTTTTGATCATTTTTGTTTGATTTTAATAATTGTATGTACTTTTAACAACCATTTCTGATAATAATGTGTTAATATTTTCCAATTATAAATGGATTATATTGTTTCTGGTGATAGTACAAAAATTTATCAAAATTGTCCCATTTAAAAGCAATTATTAATTTGTAACCAAAAATCATAGTTTTATATGATCAAAATTCCACAATAGTGTTCTTTCTCTTTTTAAGAAACACTGAATACAAAACATCTCTAATAGAGGAGACTAAGTACGGTTGTGCCACTTTTTTGATCAGCAATAATTTTGTTAATTTACCAGTTAGCTGAAAGAACATTAGATTAAATGGTTATTTGAGCATTTGTCTGCGAGAAATTGCTGAAATACTGTTTTTAAATTACATGGATTAGTCATAATACTAAATCATATCAGAAGAGGGCGAATGCCACAGCTGTAAACATAAGTTAAAAAACAATAGCTGTAAACACCAAAATTGGTTTATAACGACTTTTATTGGTCAGAAATATGTAACACAACATAACACAACACTATCATTTAAACGAAACTCAAGAATATAATATAACAAAATATCTTTTTTAAACAAGAAATCTTCATGAAATCTTTTGCTTTCAAACATATTGTTTTTGCTTTCTCTGCTGTATTTTGTCTTAGTTATGTTAGATTGTTCTTTATCTGTTTGAGTTTTAACCAAAAAGGACAAGAAATACATTTTACAACATATACATGTCACATAAAATAAAACTATTTGCTGGTCAATAACTAATTAGGTTCAAGTAACAGCAAAATATCAAAAAAGTTACCTATTTTATACAAGTAACAGTTATTATTAAAAGAAATAAGAAAAAAATAACTTTTGACTCTTTAAAAGCAATGCGGTCTACAGATAATATTAATTTAGGGCGCTGACTTAATGCAATGATGGAAACTTGTTCAGAAAAAAGTACTTTTTGTCTCCCTTTGGATTCTATATCAAAATCAGTATAGTTTAGCTGCTATGACGATTGTCACTACCGTAACCTGGCACAATCGTACCTAGTTTCTCCTACTATGTTAACGATTATCGTTAATAAATGTATGGTTGTTATTAATCGTCAATTTAGTTCTACGCAAGGTTAAATACTCAAATTGTTACAGTAATTACACTTACAAACTTTCAACAGATTTCTTTTTCCAATTCTAATAAAATAGATAAATGAGAACTTAAATGATCAAAACAGACACTAATGCAAAATAACACGCATTTTGAATAAAATAATTGAAAATAATTTCTTTGCTTAGTAAGTTATGAATTTATTTTTCTATAGGTTTGAGATTTAGTATGTTCTATATTCGGGAATATCACATTTGATTGAAATATTTGAATGCAAAATTTACGTAGGTTTACCGTAATTTTCAGTTTTTTTTATAAATATCAGAATTTTTTTTATAAATATCAGTATTTTATTATAACTATCTCATTTTTACTACAAATGTGATTTATCTTCTGACGAATTTCTTGAATTAAATTTTACTATGAAAATATTTATTGAACGATCATTCTAACGTCAGATGAAATTATTTAACCCAAGCAAATTTATGAATGCTTAATTATAATAGTAAATAATGTTATATAAAACGCTATATTATAAATTAACAACAATTTCAAGTAAAATAATTCACGCCTGCAGTAGAGCTCATGCCAATTTAGAACCACGCCAAAAAAAATCAATGCGATTAGGTAAATAATACATATGTAAATATACAGCAAATTAATGCTAAAAGGTATGCATATATATTAATAGATTAATTTCACTTCATTAGCGTTCTTATGTAGTATATTTATTCATCATGTTCATAATTAACGTGTGGTGCCAATGTAAAAGTACCATTATCACATATATTTTGTGAAATGTATAAAGCATGTTCAATAGTATACTTTTATTATAACAGCGTTAACGTTTCACCTCATAGAACTCAACAAATCATTAACGGATTTAATCATTAATAACTAATAAGAATATTTTTTATTATTTTATTTTTATATACATTGTGCCATAACTTTTTTTCAAGGTGCTACAGAATCCTGCTAATAAACGCAAAATGAATTATCATCTTTTTGATAATAATAACTTGATAATATCTTAAGAGTATATATATATATATATATATATTGATTTATTTATGTATTTATTTATTTATAATTGTGTATTATATCTTATGCAAACACGTAAGTACTCTTAAGAATCAATGAAAAACGTATACACCTACCTTATAATTCATTTATGATTATGATCGATTTTTCGAAAAATTTTGATAACATTAGTGTTCATAAATTAAAAAATGTGCTAAAAATCAATTATCTAATTTTTTTTTTTTAAGTTAGCATATTAAAATAAGGTTTAATCAAAAATGGCGAGAAATTATCGGTGTGTAGAAGATGCTAGAATAAAATTTTGGGACTAGCATTTTTTGACTATATTGATAGGTGTAAACAATTCAAATGTGAAAGATTTTCAATTAACTGCGACATGAGAGGACGGAATAAAATCTTACAACGGTTCTTTGCACATGATTTAGTTGGCATTAATATTTTTAAATAAATTGATTCGTGGAATGTATTAGGAATATAATTTCGAAATTCCGTAATATGTGAGTGCGTTATTTCATCTGTCTAGACTGTATATCTGCCTGGTACGATATGTCACAAATCGAACTTTAGTTCTAACGCTTGTAGCAATTCCGCCAATGCACGTGGAAATCTTCTATTTGAAATAGAAATACTTATCAATTTGTAACAATGGCATTACCTAAAGAGAAAAAGCGGAAAATGAGCCAATAATAAAGTAATGTGATTTACAGCTTCATTTTTTATATACAACGTTTGAAAACGTTGTTGGCAACGGTTTCTTGAACTTATTTAAGATATTGGTAAATTATCTATATTATCTTAGCTTTTGCAAAGAATAATACACCAATCTCCCGTTTTACACGCAGATGGGTTCTATAAAAAATCGTGTCACTCGAAAAATTTACTCTATGAAAAAAACTGAGCTAAACGAAAATCACTATAGAAAAACCCTTTTCGTGAGTTTTTTATTTGATGAATAACAAACACATTGAACAAAAAAATTAAAATGTTTAATATCAAACACATTTAATTAATTATAAGAATATTATTTTATTTCAATGATAAAACAAGATTTAGTTAAAATTAATTTTGTTATTTGCTCACCTTGAATAAATTTACGCTATCAATTATATATAAACTAATTAAAACCAATGTTGCTTTTTGTTTTGATATTTGAAACGAACTAGCACATAAACTAGCACACAAAAAATTTAGTTTTGTTCATTAAACGGGGAGTTCCCATCATATCTATATATTTCCATCATGTACTAAGACTATGTACTAATTATAAAATTCCATAACTGTAATATACATTTTGTAGTGTTGTATTTTAACAGTAAAACAATGAAAATATTATTATAAGTATTAGCAAATTATAGTTTAGTGTTCATAATATAACTGCAAAATTATTGAATGTAAAAAAAGAATATTTTCAAAAACCGTGTATATTCGAAAACGTGTAAAACGGGGAATATGTGTATTGTGATTCAATTTTCATTTTCGATCTAAGTAGAGCTAAGCAAATGTTTAAAATATTGAAGACATTTTCAAAGTACTTCATTTGTTATGACTGATGTTGCAAAAGAAATCGAGTATAATAATTTATTAATACAATATTAAAGCATTTTCTTAAAGTGCATAAGTAAAAAATTAGGTTAAAAATCTTATTAGTCCAATTTCCATCATCATTCAGTTTCTTAAATATATAATATTTTAATTCAATTTGCTGAAAGTGTACAAAACGTATTTTCCAAAATTTTGATGTACCAATAAAAGTACTTGTTAAAACTAATAAGTATAAAATAGATTACTTTCACTGTATTCACAAGTAATTGTTATGGTCCAAGTAAAAATACTTTTTTGGCTTTTTAAACTGTTGGAACTGATATAAAAGATTATAATTAATATCATAAAATTGTATAATTAATGATTAAATAATTTTATAATGTAAAGATATTATTTAAGCTTAAGGTTATTACACAATTATTTTTTAATCACTTTTTTTTCAAATGATATATCATATATATGCATTTTAAAGCTTTTAATTGATTATTCTACACATTTCTGACTTTTAAATTGTTTTGTTGCTTTATTTTTAATCGTAAAGGCGATGCATTGCTGAAACTGAAATAACGCACTGTTAATTAAATACCTTCGAGAAATTTCGATTTGTCAATTTCAAATAAATTAATCGTTTAAATATTTTACAATTTCTATAGTAATATCGTAAAAATGCAATGATTTGAATTTATTGCTATGCAAAATTAGTTTGCAAATATACAGTTTATAGATTATTGTTATCCGATAAATTTACATCAAGTGAAGATTTTATTTATGCCGGAAAGCATTTATTCAGTTCCTTACAATACTATATTTTATTTGTACATGACACATAATGTCACGTCAGTGCAGCAGAATCTGATAGACGAATATTCGTTTGATGTTCTTCAAATGGAGAATTTATCAAAATTCATGTCTTTTCAGACGTACTGATCCGCGAAAAGACAAAAGCGCGCTGTTTATCTGTTGAAACGTTACCGAACGATTTATTTCATTCTTTCAGAATATAAATAAATACAATAAAGATTTTACTTTTGACTTTTGAAAGTTCTAACCTTTCGATATACTATTAATAAAAAAAATTATAATTTTCAACAAGACTAGGCGTATTAAGCTCGTTACGATGAACGGAAACATGAAATTTCACATCGCTTTTT